GTGTGTGAAAGCCATAATCTATCCTGGGATGGTATCATATACCATTTGAATGGAGTCCAACACTCAAGTTGTCGAGTATATTGTACAGGGCACTATGAAAACGTATTTCATCATACGTGTGTAGCCAATATTTGGCAAACAACAAGATATAACTTTTTCTAACAGTCAACGTGTACCTCCTACACTAGTACATGAACAGATCTTCCTTGTTTGATTACAAAGCATCATTTATCATTTTCTGCCCAATTCTCTTGTTTTATTCCATCCTAGTTACCAATGGATTGTCAGTGTAAACGGAAGCGCGCGACTCAGTGGACACCGTTTTCGTACTGAGACTATTGTCTCTCATCCTTTGTTACCACTTGTATTGACTACGTCACACTACAAATCTACTGAGAACGCTCAAGATGTTCATACAACAGAAAGTCACAGCGAACTAATCTTGTGGAGTGTGGGTCCAGTTGGTCCATTGACGCGCTCGGCCAGTGGTGGTCCATCCGCGGAGCTGCTGTGCTCGCGCTGTGATCATAACAATGAAAAACATGAGCCTGTGTCTCCAGTTCCACCTATGGATTCGATGGAGGCAACAGTGACCGATCTGTTCACCCATGGAGGATGTTCATTTCAGGGTGGTTTGTCTGAAGTAGCTCGCATAGACGTATCCCATTCATCTAAAGCCCACACTTGGTTCGACGATCTTGCCTGGTTCCCTTGCCTTCTGACCACTTCTCTCACTCCTTATCCAGTGGCTTTGTTTGTTGGAAGTGTAACATCAGAGTTGGATGGAACGGAGCAACTTGGTTGTTTTCTTGCATTAGCTGATGCCGGAAGTAGTGTCTGTCAGAAGACTAGTAGTGTCGTACGACCTATGGATTTTGCGAGCTCCGATACGGCTGGGTTTTTGGTGCATCTCCGGGTTGTGTTACCGCACAGTTCTCGATGCAGTCCACCAATGTCAAATGAAAAAGTAAGTGCAGTTCATTTATTGCAATTTTTCAATAACGCACTAGTTTTGGTTGCTGCAAGTGGTAGTTCATGCGTTAGAAGTGGAGACGGAAATAAAAACGGTGTGAAATGAGGATTCTTGATAGGTGAACTACTAAATCAAACATAGTGATCTATTGAATGAATAGTCGATGTTATAAACGAGTGGCCTAACAATGCTTTCACATTTACCTAAATCCGCAATGTGACAAATAGGTCTTGGTATAATAATCTTTATAGCAATTGAGTTCCTCCTTGGTTTTTCATTTACGGACTAGTGCCCTAACCCAAACAGTTAGTTTTCGTGGATTCGAATTCTGACCTACAAGGCATAGGGTTGTGCTTGAGTGCCACAATCCGTTGGACGCCACTGCGCAGTTAATCAGATTATACTCCCTTGGAGCCTCGTTCACACGTCCCGTGTTCAGTACGTTCTATCACCCAATAGGGCGGGTTACCGTCGCGAGCACGATGTCTTTAAGCCATTAGGTAGATCTTTTTTGAAAAGTTTGTAATCAGGGGTTTGTAGTTCCCCTAAATGAACTGTCAGTCTGTGGCCCGTCAAAGCGGCCATGACCGTAAATATTAGGTTTTAATCCTCCCAGTTTAGTGTGACGACCCCAGGTTGGAGAAGACACTAAATAGGGCTTCTCAGGTGGAAAGTTTCAGAGATGCAGCCATTGCTAACATGATTTGGGGCGGAGCCGGGCTTCTCCCCTCTTATGTGATCAATTACTGAATTTTTTTTCATAGTTATTCGTTGAACTTCTACAGACGACATTAGGAACATGTAGACATCATTATCATCCAAAAAATAATTATTGCAAAAGACCCTGGGCGAAGTCCCGGTTTTACTTTCGCCTGGTCCAAGCTACCCAGCGATTCATAGTGGGATCTGTGAGTTTCATCATTGACTGCATCTGAAGAAGCAAGACTGATATATCTACTTGATTCCATTAGGGTGTACGTAATTTCGGGCTCCAAAAATATTGTTACGCCGGTTATTATGCAACGGCAGAGGATGAAAAACACGAGGAAATATGAGCAGTCAAAGGACGTACGTTATTTCGTCGTTGACCATAGATTGACTTTATCAACGCCAATCCTCCTCAGGTCTCTAGTCCACTGTATATTCGGCGCCGAATCGCATTTCCTAAAATCCTAAAGTTGTCATTTCGCGGTATCCTTGCAATTTGTACCACTTAATTTTGTTAAAAGAGTAAATGTCTGACTTTTGGATTTATTGGTGTATGTAACTTGTAATGCATCATTTTTGCACTCAAGCGTTTCGTTAAATAACCTGTAAAATATAATCGTTTCATTTCAATCCAATCACCTGTTTTTACAGGCCACCAGTTTATCTCCGGAAACATTATTGTTTCACATATTCCCGAGGGAGCTGATTCCGGGTGCAAAAGCCGAAGATGAGATCGAGGTACTAAAGTCCGGTAAGAAGAGTTCGAGCTATTTCATAGTTCGACTTACTCGTTGGGACTTGAAGTCAACGGAATGCTCAACCAAGGAAGTGAGAATTCATCCGAATTCAATTTTTTTAAAATTTATACTGGCTGTGTTTTCACTTTTGCGGTTTGGGGAATGAAAGTAAGATAATACTTAGACACTCATTCATGAATTCTGCTGGAGGGTGTGTGTGAAGGACTATCTTTCCTACTTGTCTGTTTAGTTGAACTCTACCCACGCACTAGTTTGTATCAAGTTGTCTCTTTGACCTTTTGGCTGCTAACAACTTTACGTTGTAGAGCTCTCCGACCCAGCCTTTCAGATGGGCTATCAAAATGAGTTCGTCTCAAGGTTAGTTACTACCCCATTAAGGGATGCAGAAGAACATCGGATAACCATTCAAAATGCAATGCACTCAGCCGGTTTACGTAGTGGAGGCCTTACTCGACGAGCTGTAAAGCACTGGGTTTCTTCTGGCTCTTTCCGACCTTTTGACACACATCGGCCGATCCCGGCAGATAGTGAATACGTTGAGCAGCACTTCTTTGAAGCGTGAACTTAGAAAGCGCTTAGGAGATGACTGATGCCTGGTGATTGCTGTCTGTGAATCAGCGACCAGTTGCGGGAATACCTCGTATTTGTCCTATCTCTTCCATGCTACTCACATCAAGATACGGTAGCCAATGGCGTTGGAGACGCTTCACATCGCAGTTGAAACAGCCTTACTTGTTGGTCCCTGCTCTACCATTACTATTCCGTTTTTTGTTCTTCATAGCTTGCCTCTTCCTGTAACTTTTGTCCTCCCATCCAGGTATCTAGTCAGTTTCAGTTTTGTTCAGTTTTTACAACTACTAACCATGCATTTTCATGTGTAGGTTTTGGTTGCTGTCTTTCAACTGCCCATTGGGATAAAACAGCAGAGAGAAGAATGGAATGTTGCGAGCAGAATAAAAAAAGATGGGGAAATAACACGGACCAAGGTTGCAAAGATTATGAGTAGTGGTAAGCAGCTTTTCTGTCGCTCGGTTCTATACCACGGCTGAGCTAGCGGGGCCTTGTGTGGTTCGTCACTCCAAGCCCCATGGCTTAGGTTGCCGGTTACCCTCATTGAACAGCAGATCTTCGTGACTATGGGATCTGTCCCGACTGCTGTTCATCACACACTGGTGTGTAATAAAAAAGGCACAGGTGCCACTGTTTGCGACACCCAATCATATCACTCAGCGTTTCTAACCCCCGATTATCATGATCTCGGGGTTCCCATCCAGGGAGCCCTAACGGGACCTATGCGACGCAGTGTCCTGGGGTTTGAGCTTTCACATCCTCATGCCAGGCCTTAGTTCGACCACCGTTGAACCTCTTTCCGTGCACTATCTGCCTCGGTAAACATCGTGCGCCGTGGCAACCTATTTGATGACATGCACAATCCATGTCCCATTACACGTCGACCACTTGCTCCAATGGAAGACCGCGGTTGCCGAAAATTCTGCGCGCAATCTCAGCATTGCTTGTCCGGTTGGCACTCCAGATTCGTGCAATGCGGCATTGACGGCGGTGTTCAAGCAGACAATCTATTTTTATCTGTTTCCCGTAATAGCCAAGTCTGTCCCGTCTAGCAAAACTGGCCTGACTACTACAGCATATACTCGACTCTTCACAAACAACCGGATGTCACGACTAAGCTAGAGATGTCTCAAGTTGGCAAATGCCAATCGAGCCTTCTGTATACGTGCCAACACTTCATTTGTGGCGCGTCTGCGAGGTGAGATGTAGCTGCTCAAATAGCAAAATTTATCTACTTCCCTAGTTAGAGTGAGGTTGAGGACTGGGCCAATCCAATCTTGTAGCAACATTTTGCACTTTGAAGGTACAAAACGCATACCAAACATGGCTACGTTGGCAGAATCAATAAACTGGATCGTACATAAATGTTCCCGTACTATCTCTTTTACAGTGTGCTTTTTATCTATGGGGATTTCGCCTTTTACTGTAATTCATTTTGTCATGAAAAAGTAATTTTCACGAAAGTGCGCCCTGGTCTCTATCTGTGGTACCGCCCCTAGAGGCGAAGATTGAAGAGGATTTCTTACCCTAAAACGCTATGAGACTCTGGACCAGACAAATTATTGCTCACTCTTTTTAAATATCGTAAAGTTCGCGTGAGACAGTTTGCCAGACTGTTTTCAAAGGTCTGGGAGGAAGATGTGGTACCTCCTACATGGGCTGCCGCAATGTTTGTTCCAATAACAATGGTTTATGTCTGATTCCGATAGCCGTCCATTTTATTACACAAATTGAATCCGATTTGTACAGGACGAATCCCTGAAGGGTAGACCGGGTTCCGTGCATGCCATAGTTGCATAGGTCAAATCTTCACTCTCGGTCAGCAGCTGTAACATCGCTACAAATAGGCGGAGTTCTGTCGTATTTCTTACAAATCAGTACAGCTTTCGACTCCGTCGACTGCCCTGCTATGTGGAGCTGTTAGCTGTTATATATATATCACCTCAAAATTGACGATGTTCCAAGAGGCTTAGATTAGTATGCCATTTAATTACTATAGAAACATTCAGTGGTCGAAAATGCAATTCTAAACTATAGATTTTTGAGTAACTGGTAATTGGCTGGGATCGGCAATCGGAAACTTTGTTGTGCAAGAGCTGTGTGTGATCCTGGAGATTGTTTGAGACGAACTTGTTTTAATCACCCGCTTTTTTGGTGGTGAATGGTTTAGCATTCCCTTATATTCAGGGGTAGTTTTCTTCACTCGCTCATCCACGGTAACGATACGCATGATTTGATCATTAAGAAGAAAACCTCTTTTGTGTAAAAAATGTGAATGGTTTGAATTTCAGTACAATGGTCTGCAAAAACTGGCTTGATGTAACATTGCCGTCGAACGAGTACGTGCGAATGTTTGCATAAATGTGAGCAGTTTAACACAGTGGTAATACGCTCTGATTCATACGGGTCCGAAGTTCAGGTCATGGTTATGCCGGTCGATATGTATTGTTTGTGAGCCATATTGAATCCCGAACTCAAGTATGGTGCTTATCAAGTTTATGGCTGACTAAACCATGTATTGTGACGGAAAATGAGGTCTGCACAATAATCAGTCATAGTTATACTACTTTTCCTCACAACCAGTAAAAGACGTTGAACAAACGATTGGATAAGTTCAAAAAACTTCATCTTAAACGCGTTCCCTTACATTGAGCATTTTTAACAAAAATGCAGGTGATTGTTCGTAATTGGTTCCGTCACATCGTTTTCCTTTGCACCCAACCCCCCTTTTAATACTATGATTGTCTTGTTGCCACTACTCTGGTTCGAAAGCCGCGTTTATCTCTTTCTGTTATTACACTTCTCTTTAGTCTGCCTGAAAATGGCGTCTTCCGATGCTATAAAGAGTCCCTTAAATTCGGTCATTCAAATTTGAAGCGGACTTGGTTGTAGATGCTTTTTCGCACATCAGATGCATACCTGATTTGCACTAGCAGGTTCTCTCTTCGTGATTCCTCCGTTCATTTCCGTCCACAAATGTTTTCGCTGTTTCTGAAATATAACTAAAACTTTTCATTTCACAACTCTGATGAAGCATAGCGACGTATATTCGTGTGATACGATCGTGAAGAGACTGCACTGTGGCATGGTGTGTTGGTCTGTGCACCTCTATGAATCAGCAAGCTACACAGGATGACTTTATCTTGCAGTGAGGTCCTGTCATGCCTGGAAATTCGGAGGGTAGATATCAGTCGAACTTCAGTCTCCTGTTCCTCCAGGTTGGGGGTTCGACTCGAGTTAGCGTCTCAGTCGGTAAAATGATAGAGGAGTCGCCAAAGTTTGTTGTCTAGTAGCGCCGTGAGTCGCTTACCACGAAATAGATTGCAGATTCGGAAGCCTCATCTATCACTGAATCTGAGGGCCTTCAACGTGAAAACTCTGATGCAGGTGGGTCAACAAGCTTGTTTTGGCGCGTACAATAGACTCTTTGGGGGATTGATGTCTGCTGCGTGTCGGACACACGAATTCAGGATTCTACTACTATAAGCCCCTTAAATGCGCCGGTTTTATTATCGAGAGACTTCATCCGCACTTCGGATGACGATAAAACCGGTTCAGTAGGCCATCGTGACGTAGGCATTGTACTCTAATACAACCGAAACTGCACTCCTCGACCGGACCGCCGTCAACAGTCACTTATGTGCGATGCGTCTCCGAGGGTTTTTCAGCCTCCGGAAGGGAAGCAACACCAAAAGGTGTTCGCTCATTATTCTTAGCGTATGCACCGACCAACTGCAGTTCTGACGCACAAAAAATATGAGTTCTATGATAAACTCACCGAACTCATTCGGTTGAGCCGAAACACCGATATAATTGTGTTCGCAGGTGATTTTAACGCATAATTTGAAAACTGGCATCGGAAGCTTGCCTAGACGGTCATTGGGCTCTGACCTGCCAATCAACAGAGAATGACGATCGACTTCTTCAGTTCTGCTCAGATCATCTGTTCCTATCCAGTACCAACTTCGGATGCAGCTCTTAACGGACAGCAACGTGGCGCTCCAATTCAACTGACACGCTAACTCAAATATCAACTATTTGCAGTTGGCGTGGCTCAGCACAAAACTGCAATAGTTTTGATGAAGTTCACTCTCCGACTCACTGGTCACAGAAAGTCCCACCAAAACTAGGTTGGCAGATAATCGCATATCCGACCCAGCCGTTCATGGCCGCTTTGAATCAAAGCAAGAACAAGAGCTAAACGCGCTGCTGCGTAATACTGTTGATGAACAATGAAATCAGATTAGACGAGCAATGTACTCCACGGTGAGGGTTGCTTGCGGNTTGCGGATCTGAAGCGGAAGCCCGTCCGAGGAGTTGGATATCTGATGGGTCAGTAGGATTGATGGAACAGAAGCGGCAATTCCCAGCAGCCTGTGATCAAAACAGGGACAGGTGGCGTCTGCATCATCAACTGACGAAGAGTTTCCAGAAGGACCGCGAAAACTGATGGGAACAACAGCTTGCGAAAAGGAAGTAGCAGCTCTATCAAGGAATAGTCAAAGACTATTCCAACCGATACGCAACACGGGAGGTCGGCGAACCACAGTTAGTGAACGAATCTGCGAGAAAAGTGGACTAGCTATTCACAATAGGAAACAATGGCTAGACGGGTGAGAGTAGTACTTCAACTAACACTTCAGCTAGCCAAGCACTAACCAGACTACCTCGTCTGGTGCAGTTGAGGCTCCGTGGTCAGTGTCATGTGAACCTTCTACTGAAGCAGTGAAGTTCTCTTTGTATTTTGCTGCATGATCAGTCTGATGATAACCAACGCATTGTGTGGATTCTGTGTTCGCGCACACTTTCACCAGAGTGCAAACTTGAAGTGTTTCATTTTCAATCATTTGATGTTTTATCTGATTTAAAACTCATTTGAGCTCAAATTGCCGAGATCCCTTCCTTGAAACAGAATTATGGACGAAAAGTTTCGGTTACTCTTAACACAAAATGTTGACCAAAAATATTATCATAATAGCGTTCAACCTCGTTCTTGGAAAACATCGGTGACGACTGCATATGTTACAGTAGTGAATTGTGATAGTAAATATATCGGTATTCGTGAGGAACTTTTGACAAGTATATCTTTTCTACAAATCATAGGCGCAAAAATTATATCCTCTGTGGACATTATTCGTCCGGTGTTCCTACAGTCTAGCCGGACTAAACAGTCTTACGGATTTTGATCTGACAGATTAGCCATCTACATTCTTTTCATTGAATCTGAGGGTTGTTTCAGTCGTATACCGATTTCACAGACCCAGTTCATTTCTTCCTTTATTCGGTAGTGGCGCGTCCATCATAGACCTTTTTCAAATTATGCAATCAAATGTGGAGTAATTAGTGTTACTCTAAATCTTTCAGTGAACCAAGTTGGTGCTTGTTCGATGGTGCGACATTATTGTTGAAGTTTGGTTCCAGCACGCTTAGTCGTGATGTATCAGTCAACAGTCGACAGCGTTTTCAGGGAAACTGAAGTTTCTGCTACTTTTCTACAACGGCTGTCTGCGATATTCTCGCTCACTCTTCATTCGCAGACGCGGAGCAACGCTGAAGCAACTCTCAGTAATGGGCCGAACATTTGCAACTGGTCGTACTTGTATGTCTGGAATTTCGGTGGTACTGAGATTATGTGTTCGCTAACCAATTCTACCTTTGGTTCCTCACGAAATCTTTCCACCGATTCCCTTTATTTTTTTCCTCAACAGATCGGCACATGTCAACTAGAAATGTGGCGTATCCGGGTAATCGAGGCCGATTTCATTTTGGATTCAGAGGTTGATTCTCAGTCTTGTCCGACTCAACTAACATCGTTCGACAACTTGCTGGATGTTGAAAAGGTAAGCCAGCACTTTTCTTGTTCGTTTGCACACACCCAAAGTCAGACACGTTTGCCAACTTTTTTTATTTGTGTTACCCCCACATCGGAAATTTCCTAAATATGCCTGCAAATAATACAAAAAATGGAAGTGCCTTGCTCTGCGGTTGTAGACCTTGTAGTTCTTCAGATGGGGTCAAGCATCCAACGTGCTCAAGACACCTCGATACTCAATCGAGCCGGTGACCACCCAGGAAGGTGTGGGTGAGTATGGTTCATACGTCTCTTCTTGGTTGGTTTTAAATTAGTGATTTTAGTCCCTAGATGATCTGCCGATGGTTTATCGACCCTGTTTTAGCCTCGCATGTTGGCTTTTTATCCTCACTTTGGTGGAAAACCTCTGCCGTGGGAAGGCAGTGCGTAAGGTTTCCTCAGCAGAGGCTATTTGAAACGCTTTGTCGTTTGGGAGCATTTCACGAGGTGCGCAGGAGGAGTGACCAGCCGTCAACGCTAAACTCTCG